GATATAACACACTTCATATTTTGTTCCACTCGTTTTTGACAAATCGGCAAAAATATATGAAATTTTTATATGCTCTCAATAATTTTCGTCCCAAATATCAGACCGCGCCGCCTAATAAGTTTCACTTCGAAAGTTTCATATTTTTGCCGATTTGTCAAAAACGAGTGGACCAAAATATGAAGTGTGCTATATCATTGTAATCAGAATAAGATATTATATCGAACACATATATAATATACAGGGTGTTCCATTTGAAAAAATATAATGTAGGCTTATATGTCAAAAAGTTGATAGTGTTTTGTTTTACGTGTAATTTGAAAAAAAACTTGGCTACTAACCCTACATTTTGTTTTTTTGTTTACCTTGATAACTTCAAAAACAAAAAAGTTACAGGTGATCAGAATGATATCGAAGATAAAAAAACACCCGGTACAGGGGGATTAAAAAATAGGAAAATATGCAGGGTTTTTTGGTAAAAGTAGAAAAAAAATGGCACATCACTATTTTTTTAAACCTTTGATATTTTTTTCAGATTAAGCAAGTCATATTTCAGTCAAAAGAAACCTTTCGTTATCACAAATCAACCTGCCAAATTTAAAAAAAAAAAAAAAAATGGAAAAATTTTTGAGCTGAAAAAACGATTTTTTCTAAAACTTTGACACCCTGTATCTCTGAAACTACGCATTTCTGGTCACATATTTATGGGAACTTTTTTTGTTAAAATATCGTAAGGAATGACATCCTGAAGTTACGGACCGTACTTAGGAAATACCCTGTATATTTTTCTATTTTTTGACCACCCTGTACATGCTATTTCAACTTTTAATACATAGTTTGATATTATTTTTTCAAGAAGCAGAAACTCTTATAAAGGATAACTTTTTTTCGTAAAATTGATAATAAAAAAGTTTCCCATGTGCTGCGAACTTAAGTGGATACACTGTATTTTATGAGAAAATTTCATGAATCAAAAATTCAAATTTTTTGTCAAAACACCAGTTCTCGCATTAGTTACTATGCAATAATTTACACTAATATAAATTATCACGTAATTCCAATCTGATTGGTTCAAATCAACAATCAAAACATGTCAGTTTATTGTTGGTATATCAGTTTTGACAAATGTATGAAATTCTTATCAAAAAAACGGCCACTAAAATCAAAAATCGACGTATCCGAGATTTTTTGAAAAAAAAATCAACCTTGTATTTTTGATGGATTTTATTCCTAACCTTCACGTACTAACTGTATTTAACTATGCTATATGATATCCTCTTTCGTTTATTGAATTCTAGTAAAGTTATCTTTGTTCGTTTTGAGTTCATTATGAAATATATTCACCATAATTATTTACACAAACTAATAACTGGCCTTGCAGTCCTCTCGCGTCGTGTAATTTTTACTTACCCCGGTGCGAAATTAAATCCGCCAGAGGCAGCACGTCGCTGCAGCCAAAATTTTTGAATTTCCGTGTTTGCAGGGCTTACAATTTGAGACGAGATCTCAAAAACTACTTAATATTTTTGAGTGAATCAAGAAGATTCGAAAAGATAATAAAATTTAGAACAATGCTCTTGTTTCATTTTTTTTAAAAAAGCGATGGGTTTGGATGTACCGAGCGATAGAAATGATGCTTTTTTTCGAGTATTTAGGTCGTGATATTTTCAATTTGCAATTTTTTTTTCGAAAAACTAAAACAACAGCATTATTCTTTAGATTTTTATCTTTTATTATTTTCTAATCCGGTCAAAAAATATTACAAAATAAGTGAGTTCTCGTCTCAGGAAATTAACCCTTTTTCTCAATTTTTAACGGCTTGTTGTTGGCCTCTTAAGGTATTTTCTATTGGAAGTCAAATAGGCAATATTGCAATTTTTGTATCCGCATTCTTTCCATAGTGCTAGACTCGTAAGGCAAACTTTAGTTGCAAAGTTTCCTGCCAAATCAATCAATACATTAGCTATCTGGCTTTTTTGTTTTTTCAATCTTTTTCGAACTTCCCGCGGCGGCGCCGATCGGCGCACCGGAAAATCTCCCTGTATCCCGGTGGGCCCATCCGCCCCTGCCAGCAAGTCGTACCACATTCCGAAATGATTTCTCTGAGTAGATAGTATAATTTATAATACAGAAATATAAATAAAATAGTTTGAACACCATTTTTTCTCGCCCCATCTAGGAGAGCGATCCACCTCCGGTGTATTCCCTCCAATTAGGTTGCCAAATTGCTACGGATTGATATTTTATCCTGTTATGACTTTGCTCCAAAAAATTAGAGCTTCCAAGACTGAAAACCACTACTGTCAACGCCACACAGCGGATTTGAATTCTAGCGGGACAAAACCGTATTTTTCAGAAACAAGAAACAAGGCAAAAAAAGTTTGCTCATAAGAATAGATATAGTCTAAGAAAATTGTAGATTTTCAAAAAAAAACCTACCCAAATGAATTTTTCAGGGATGATAGGGGGTGGGTGGGAGATCATAAAATCGAAGATATCACACATTTCCCCCTCTGGCGTTTTGCGCTATAGGGGTTGAAAGTGCGCCATTGGCGATTACTTGGTACTTTGGTACCTATTGATTTTACGAAAAAAAAATTCAAATAAAATATGTGCAACATTATGCGATCTACAATGTTTATCTAAAGAATTTTTTGATTAAGGGCCGTCTGTGGTCATAAGGTCCGTTTGAAATTTACAATGAAAATACAAATTTTTAACATAAGGGAAGTGTCCCCTTGCTGAATAGGGGTGAGTAACAAAAAAAGTTGATAAGGAAAAATTGTAGGAAATGTGATCTTATAAAACCTTTACTAAGAAATTTTTTTTGTAAAAAGATGAAAAAACTCTAAACTACCCCTATTAAAAAACGGCAGGGGGTGAGTAAAAACTTTATGAAGCAAAAACGTTTTATGTGTTATAGAATTTTTTTTCACGTTGGTTAAAAAAAATTATTTTCATTATAAATTTCAAACGGCCCTTATAACCACAAAGGGCCCCTAATCAAAAAAGTATTTAGGTAAACATTGTGTATCAAATAATTTTGCACATCTTTTATTTGAATTTTTTTCTGTTAAATCAATAGGTACCAAGTAATCGCCAATGGCGCACTTTCAACCCCTATAGCGCAAAAGGCCAGAGGTGTGAATGTGTGCTATCTTCGGTTTGATGATCTCCCACCCTTTATCATCCCTGAAAAATTCCTTTGGAGGAATTTTTTTTTTGCAATGCATGTATTTTTCGACAATTTTCCTAGACAATTGATATAAAAATGCAACAATAATTTTTTTGTCATGCGCTCCCAAAAACAGCTATTTTACGGACTCATTCAAGTCCGTAAAATGCTTCTTTTCAGGATTTTTTTTTCTTTCTGGTTGCACCTTTATGATTTCAAAACTTAAGGAAATTTTGCAAATTTTAGCGTTCTGAAAGGACTCATCTGCTATTCCGGACTCGGCTAACGCCTCGTCCGGAAACAGCAATGAATCATCCTGAAAAACTTCATATTAGGTACTTGTGACAAAAATAACTATTTTCTGCGATTGACAAGAAATGTCAGCATTTTTTACCGGTTGACAGGTCGCAAAACTCAAGATTCTGGTATTTTAATTATGTTTCAATAGTTGCTAGGGAATCAATGAATAACAATACGAGAATCACTTTTTCGGCCTAGGCCGGGAAAGTGATTCTCGTACTGCTGAATAATTGGAACAAAAAGACAACCATTTAACAGATATTTAACCGATCGCAGAAAAAATAGTATGTGTATTTCGGTGGAAAAACACATTCTCGGCCTTCGGTGTTTGCCGGCCTCGGCTACGCCTCGCCCGTCAACTTAGACCGTCGGCCGAGAATGTGTCACTTTTCCACCTAAATACACAATATACTATTTCTGTAGTCATACGTATACTGTTTCTTTATTGTATCGTTGGCAACAGTTAAGTGTTTCAGAGGGATGTGAAATTCAATTGCTGGATGGTGAGGGTCCTGAGGTTCGATGTACATATTAGGAACATAAATTTTATATCAAAAAATTCTTATAATAGGTATCAGAATACTTTCGAATAGACTAGATTTGGACATTGTGAGGAGTGTTTACACTGATTGAATCTCCTTTGCAAAACGGTTCTTTTTGGGTTTCATGTACGAAGGGTTTATTTGATAGTGTTTTTGTACTTCAAAAAGGGCAGATTTATATGCAACGTATCGCCAGGTATGGCACCGTGATTCTTGTAGACAACTGTTTGTAATTGTAAGGACGTCAAGTCAGCACTATTTGTACTGGAGTCCGTGTGCCTTATATGAAAGAAGTATAGGGACAATTTATTGGCAAGTCGCCATAACTACAACACACGGAGAACATTGAGTGCGGACCTGCCGATACCTGTCTTTGCAAATGAAAAACTAATATTTGACAGCAGACAACTATTCCATATAAACTGCACCTCGGAATCGGAAATATTTAATTTGACAAAAAAAATAGCTCTACACTGAAGGAGTTACTATTGGAGCGTCCCTGCTATTATGGTGTATCAGAATATATTGTATGTAACCATATATTCCCTACTACCTTCTGGTAAGTTTTGTTATATACATCCTTGCTAATTTCCCCTAACTCCCATAATTTTTGTCTTGTAGAACTTATGCTGATGATGGATCTATGATAGATCCGAAACATGTTCAACCGCTTCTTTTAACCGATATTTGTATAAAATAAAGAGTGAAGATTGACTGTGTGTTTTACTTCTTTAACTATTCTCTTCACTGAGAGATATGGACTACTATTTCAAAACAATCAGTAAGACCTTCAGGCTCAGTGCTCAGTTTTCTTTCTGAGCTCAAAGCCCGTGTGCCGAAAAGTTTAATCTCTTGTCTAAACATTTCTCCAATTAATTTCCACCCTTATCAACATAAAATAGGTGTTCCTACTTGATAAGTACTTGCACAATGTTTACTGTCATAATATAGGTACACTAGAATGGAGTTTCAAAGAGAAAACTTACCCATAATTCATCTAACTTCCGTAATTCATTGAAAAACATATAATATATTCTTCTAAAGTCTGCTCTGTCTTTGAAAACAAATTTAATACAGAGTGATTTCAGTTGGGCTAAATTCTCTCTGTAAACTTCACGTGGAGATGTGAATTGGTTCGCTTCTACAGCAATTGCTAATCTTTTAAGCTAAAATAAGGAAAAGCATAAATATTATATGACTCGCAGAATAGAGGGCTTTTTGATGATATTTTACATAGAAAAACCACAGCTTGAAATACAGTACCTATATGCAGATTTCTTTTTACAAGCCAATTTGATTGGTTTTTGAGGCAAATTGATAAGAATATTGTTATTTGTCATAAATCGTGTACTATACCCGGCGAATAGAATTTTTTTAATTATTTTTATGTATTATAAAAACACATAACATGTTGAGCTAATGTTTTATAAATAAGAATGACTTTGTTAGAATGCAGATTTTTAATTATTCAAACCAATTTTAGTCGTTTTTATTCAGCATATTATCTCTTGCAGACCATATTTATTTATTCTTACCTTTTTGTATAGCACAACATCTTCATCCCTCATACCCAATATCGTGTCCAAAGCACGTAAGTCTTCTAGCCGAGGCAATAATCGAACTATATCCCTTATCTCCTCCAAACTTATCCAATAAATTTTATTTATATTTAAACTCCTTACATGATTATATCCAACATCTGTCTCGATAAATTTATACAAAGGTTCTTTATAAATGTGGTAACATGCACCAAGATCAAAGTTTCTATAAAACAAAATCCATGCTGAGGCAAAAACATGTTTGTTTTAAAACGACAACTGACTTACGTCACGACATTTCTGTTGTGCAAGAAGTGCCCGAATTCGTCCGAAGAGTTACAAAAATTGATAAGATCGTAAGCCCGTAAATGCTTCACTATTTCCTCCCATATTTCACAGGGGAAAATATCCATGGTAAAACCCAAGTGTTGCCTAATGAAAACGTTAAGATGCGGATGCGCTTACTAAAAATTATTCGCTTGGCTATTTTCGTATTGGACGGTTTTAGAATCGGAAGTAGGTATTTCAAGATCTCCTGTGTGTGCCCACGCGAATATAAAATACGTGTGTAGTGTTTTAACATTGATTTTTTTTTTAATCATAATATTTACAAGTTTTCCTGGAGTTTTATTTAGAGAAAATGATGTGTATGTATTCGCCAGACTCCAAAAATAAATTCTTGAATAATATTTGGAGTTAATTTTTGCGGGTGAACAAAACCCGCAAAACTTTCTTTTACTTTGCTTTTAGAATGTTTCAAAAATGTTTTTTCTAGTCCCAACACCGGTCGTGAGATCCTCAAAGAAGATGGAAATAGTACGGGATACGAGGCCTATTTCATCAAATCATTTTACACCGTCTTGCATTGTTATCATCAGTTAGATAACATGATGCTGAAACGCACTTGCGCAGTGAAATATATGGGAGTGGGGAATTTAGCTGATAAAAATGTTTGAGAAAATGTCGTCATAATCCAGGAAAATATACAATTTCACACCGTCTTGCATTTACTTATTAAGTTAATTTGTACACAAACAAAATTAGAATACCCTATGCAAGACATTTTCCTGGGGGTTTTCGGGTTGTAATATTAGATAGAAATTGTCAATTTTTCAGAGGGGTGAAATATCATTTCATACCACTCAATTGTTGATTTAGATTAAAGCTTGAATGTAGAATAGCCATTGGATACTGATGCAAGACGTACTGTGAGGGGATAATGGGCTGCAAGACAGAGGTCAATGTGTTGTCTTATGAGGGAGGGAGAAATCATTTTACACCGTCTTGCACTGGTACTTATGGGAAAAATAGAACACATTGATAACATTTTTAAAAATACAAGACATTCTAAATGGGAAGAAAGGACTGCAACACGATGATGAAGTTGACTAATTTTGACAAGGGTCAATCTATCAGGTACAAAGGTGAATACTACTTCAAATTACAAATTATGCACATTAATTTTAAATAGTTTTGCTCTTCACCACGTATAATAATTCTATTTTGCGAAATTCTCCTAATAATATGTATATATGAATGTTTCTACGGACATCAAATAAAAAAAGATTGAAAATTGTTTTATTTTTGACGGATTTTAATCATTTAGGTTCTCTTTGAGGTGGATATCCCATGACACATAACATGTTTTGTGCACATAACATTGTAAACATTAAATTTGAAGAATTTCATTTTAAAGCAGCAAAAAAATGTGAAAATGACACAACAAATGATCTGTCTGAAATTGTAAACAAAAATTATAATTCCTGTATTCAACAGACTCCCCTGTTGAGCTGCTATGTCAACTGTCCTTTTTCATCTGTATGATTTAAAAAAGAATAAACATTGAACGGTTCAGTAAATAACTCAACAGTTCAGTGAAAAAATTAAAATGGATTTTTTAACTTTTTTCCCAGAAAAAACGTCTTGGACTGATGTAATACCATTTCTTAACATAGATTCTTTCGGCGGACATAAGCATGAAGTGGTGTAAAATAATTTTTCACTCCCTCATGAGACAACACATTGACATCCGTCTTGCAGCCCGTTATCCCTCTACAGGACGTCTTGTATCAGTATCCAGTGGCTATTCTACATTCAAGCTTTGATATAAATCAACAATGGAGTGGTGTTGGAAACATGTTCCAACAATCATGCTATCTCTTTTTGATGGCAAAATATTTTTATACATATAAAGTTTGCAACACTGCAGCGTTGTCGTCATGTCTATTTTGTCATGTCTGTCAATATATTGCGCGCCATTTTTGTCATTGCAGCAGTGTAGCTTGGAGCTTGTCCACGTTAACAAGCATCCAGAAACCTTTTCACATTTTAATAAATTTTATAATCTAGCTCTGCCCTGTTGGGCATCTAAGCAAGCTCTGGCTTCTTGTCATCTTGTAGTAGTAATTGTAAATAGTGTAAATATTGTGTAAATTGTTGTAAATATAGTGTCAGTGAAAAGCGCGTGTGTTTTAGTTCCCTATCCAGTCGATCATCCAGTCCACCTAATTATACAGTCCACTAATTATCAAGTTATTTATCTTCCATTATGTGGTTTTGCACATAATTTTGGCCAGTTCGAGCCGGATACTGGATAGTTCGGAACCTAAAAGTGCTTTAAAAACCCTCAAAAAGTGCCTTTTTAGTGGTTATTGATTGTTCCATCGTGATTTTTGGCGCCATGTGATGCAAAAAATCAATCATCCACTGTGCAGTCTGCACGTGTCTCAAACAACGTTGGGTTCCACGTGCCACCAGCGAAGGTTTCCGCCGGAACCGGAAGTGCGTAAGTAGAGTGGGGCGGAGCAAACAAACTTCACTTGTCAAATTCAAAAGGGTGCTTCTTTTTCTCGTCTGGTTCAACCCAAGTCACCCCGGGTGCAGTATCCTTGCTTGGTGCAATGAAGTACAGCCCCGGAGCAACGAACATGAAAGTGAGAGTTCACCACCCCGACAGCTTAACCTCAAATTAAATGTCAAACATTTGTTTACGTTTTGTTGTTTGTTGTTTGTGTATTTCGGATTTTTGCAGTGAATTTGAGTGAATTTGCATTATTTTTGAAAAACTGAATTTTTCGCATTAATTATTGCTATTTTTTCATTATTTATTTAAAGGATGAACAATTATCCGTTTTTCGTTTTGTTAAGTAGTTTTTAAAAAAAAAAAAAAAAATCTAATTTATTAGGTAATTTTAAATTTTGTTTATAGATTTCTTTTGATATTTTCTTATTTTTTTGATTGTAAACTTTGTAAATATGGCTACCAAAAAGCAAATTGATAAATTATTGTCAAAGAAAAAGCAAGCAATCGACTCCATGGTTAGAATAAGTCGTTATATTTCCGATCACAAATCTGATCCTGACAGTGAGTATAAAACCGACCAATTTTTAGTTCGGAAGGAAATATTGCAGGACAGTTTTCAAAAGCTTAAAGACATTCAAGTTGAAATTCTGTGCCTTGATGGTAACTATGATGATTCAATTGATGATGTAGAAACTCTTTTTTATGATGTCATTGTAAGTATTAAAAATTGTTTACCTAAACCTCAATTATTGGCTCATAAATGGAATAAGATTAATTAAAAAAGAGCTACACAAATGTGTGATTTGCTTTAAATTCAAAGCAAAATGTTCCACTCAATTAATGGGTTCCTTGCCGGAAAAAAGAGTCTGTTCAGCCAGAGTGTTTCAAAATGTCGGGGTAGATTTTTGCGGTCCCTTCCTCGTTAAGCAATCTCGAATTAGAAAATCCGTAAGTTCCAAGGCACACATAGCACTTTTTGTGTGCTTTTCAGTCAAAGCAATTCATATGGAACTGCTTTCAGACCTGACAACCGAAAATTTTCTAGCTGCTCTGAAGCGTTTTATTTCGCGGAGGGGGAAGCCCGCAAATATTTTCTGCGACAATGGTTCCACGTTTAAAGGAGCCGAGAATAAAATCAAAGAGTTTTATAACGAAACAGAAAAAATTGAAAATTATTCCCTTCAGGAAAAAATTACATTTAATTTTATACCGAGCTATTCTCCAGTTTTTGGTGGTTTATGGGAAGCTGGAGTAAAATCGGCAAAATTTCACATCAAGCGAGTCATAGGTAGCAATGAGCTTACCTATGAACAATTTAATACTCTTATTGTCCAAGTAGAAGGAATTTTAAATTCCCGACCACTTGTAGCCTTGTCACAAGATCCTTCAGATTTGGACTATTTGACCCCTGGTCATTTTTTGATAGGTGCGCCTATCACAAGCTTTCCTGACCCTGATTTGACGGAAATTCCCCAAGGTCGACTTAAGTTTTGGAAATTGTGTGTCCAGATGCAGGAGCATTTTTGGAAAAAGTGGTATCACGACTATCTAACGCAACTCCAAAATAGGCCAAAATGGCGTGATGAGATGCCTAACCTTAGGGAGGGCTTGTTAGTCATTTTAAAAGAGGATAATGTACCTTCTTATAAGTGGCCAATGGCAAGAATAGTTAAAGCAATACCTGGAAAGGACGGCAAAGTAAGGGTTGTCGAAGTAAAAACCAAAAAAGGTATTTATCTCAGATCGGTTACCAAGATTGCAGTGTTACCGATTGATGACAATAATTGTTAATAATATTTTTGAAAATTATTCACAAAATTCTGTACATATATTTGTAAAACATTTAGATTTATATTTATATTCAATTAGCTATACTCGTATATACATACATAATGTCATACTATGTGTTCCAGAAATGTTTTTAGCTTTAATTGTTAGTTAAGTTTTCGTTTACTGGATCATCATTGAAATCATACTTTTTTTTAAAAAAAGGGTTGCTTACTTTCTCTTTAATTTTTTTATTTTTTATGCTGGAAAATTTTACCTTGGTTTCATGTGAAACTCTAGGCCCCCCAGCATGTTGGAAACATGTTCCAACAATCATGCTATCTCTTTTTGATGGCAAAATATTTTTATACATATAAAGTTTGCAACACTGCAGCGTTGTCGTCATGTCTATTTTGTCATGTCTGTCAATATATTGCGCGCCATTTTTGTCATTGCAGCAGTGTAGCTTGGAGCTTGTCCACGTTAACAAGCATCCAGAAACCTTTTCACATTTTAATAAATTTTATAATCTAGCTCTGCCCTGTTGGGCATCTAAGCAAGCTCTGGCTTCTTGTCATCTTGTAGTAGTAATTGTAAATAGTGTAAATATTGTGTAAATTGTTGTAAATATAGTGTCAGTGAAAAGCGCGTGTGTTTTAGTTCCCTATCCAGTCGATCATCCAGTCCACCTAATTATACAGTCCACTAATTATCAAGTTATTTATCTTCCATTATGTGGTTTTGCACAAGTGGTGTAAAATGATATTTCACCCCTCTCAAAAATTGACAATTTCCATCTTATATTACAACCCCAAAACCCCCATGAAAATGTCTTGCATGTGTTAATCCAATTTGGTTTATGTACAAATTAACTCAATAAATAAATGCAAGACGGTGTATAATTAAATATTTTCCTCGTTTATGATGACA